ACCATTCCTGTTTCTCAGTTTACTTAGAAGTGCTCATGGTATTGATAATCCTGGAGTTACTCACCTCTTTCTAGTTAAACACAAATGGAACAAGACATGCACTTACAGTTAAAGAAATAAAGCCCTAAATTGGGTTTGCATAGGAGTCTAATACACTAAGTTGCTGCATGCAACTCAGCAAGCTAAAGACTTGTTATATGATCCAGTTTCATTAACACAACTTAAAAGGACTGACTTAACTGGTAGATTTTCCTTTTCAAAATTGTAGCTGCAGTAGGACAGAATTGCTGTGTAAATTTGAAAATGGAAACATAAGTCAGGTTTTTATAGTTAACCCAAACCAAAGCTTTGGTTGTTATTCAAGTATATGGAATTGATTAGTAACAGTAACTTTATTTGAGAACAGCCTGATAATTGAGTAGACTAGCCTTCATTAGTCCAAAATTTGCATTTATGATTTTTCTGACATAGGACTACATATCCCCAAATATGGAGCATATAATACAATTATTCTAAACTGGACAAATTTAGAGCCTCTTAATTAAGTTTACATTTGGAAAGGTCTGTGCAAAATACTGTGAAAGTTTAACTGAGTGATTTGTTTCCTCTATGCCACTTGGAGGGGATCTCTGTCTTTTTCTGACACGATTATGTTGATCTTGTTCTGTAGATGGGTAGCTAGTGTGTCACGCAGCTCTGACAAGAAGCCTCGCTCAGTGTTACTGTGCTCACACAGAACAACGCTGCTCCCGTCGGCAACAGCATCCAGAACGGCATGGTGGGACATCTCTCCTGCCATTTTGAAAAAGAAATTGCATGCAGGTTACAAACAGTACGGATTTAGGTAACCAGTTATTTGCAGCGTATTCATAATCTTTCTTGGAAGCTGTGAAGGGTTTAACAGGGGAACTAGCCAGAAGCCCATAAGGGAGACTGCAATATCATTGGTTCTGTTAAGAGTATGGCATACTCCACATTTTAGGAAAGCAATGTCAGAATTTGCACAGAATATTGCAAACTTACGGTGTCTAGTGTCCCATTAAGGACTTGTAGCCTATGTCCCTGGTGTACTGTTGACACAAAGACACAAAAATTCCTTGCCCTCTTTAAATAGTGATAGATTCTGCCACTTCGGGCAGGGAATCAGAGTGTGCAAAGTAGTTAGGAAGTGGACTGTCTGGTAGTTACACATCTGCTCAAGTGGATCTCTGGGATGGAGCACAGTACTGTGAAAACCTCATGCAAAAGAGGGCTGAGGGTCATTTCTTCAGAGTAAGGGGGTGACAGGCCTTGCCAAAGAAATCACTCAAAAAAATTATGCAGAATACTGGCCACCCCCTCACATCATGAAACAAACTGTGAGGAGTACTGTCACACGGCCAGAAATAGGATAATTGTCTAAGGGACCTTTTGGCCAAATAGAGAAAGGCAACTGTTACGTATTTTACTTTGTAAGATTCTGTACCTTACTACCTTACATTCCATTTTCCTTCAGGGAACTCTGTAGGGAACTGGAGAAATACCTTTTATAGATATTTACAATAGGCCAGTAGAGAAGCGCACTTGAAACACAGGTAGAGATGGACTTTGGCATCATACACTGATTTGGGGTTGAAATATTATGTGTATGTAGCACAATGTTTTACTTCAAAAAAATCTTCCCTGTGCCACAAAGCTATCTGATCTGTGTCACTCCTATTACTTCCTCAATTGTATGAAGTAATACTGTCTGGCCAAATCTTTAAACAGATGGTCAACCCTTTTTTTTCTCCTAGTGGCTATTTTTACAAAGATAAGGAACCAGCAATATAATCTCCTACCTGTGAGATAGAGATCAGCTTTCACTCCCTTCAGGACACTGCTTCCAGAACCAGCACACAGAGCAACTTTCTTCACCGGTGATTCTGCAGGATGTAAGGTGCCACAGTTAAATTCCCTTTCCTCTGTTCAGCCTTCATGCCAGTATTACTATTAATTGAAGTAACATTCTAATTTTAGAATCAGTGCAAATCTGTCAGTTTAAAAGTGTCACAGGCAAAAATATCTTTGATAATAGAGCAAAATCCTCTGCATATGAAGTTTTGAACAAGTTTGCTCTCTCAAATTCTAGTATCTGTGTTCCCAGGAGTTTAGGATAAGCAACTGGGATAAGAGGACCTTTTTTGCAGACCCACCATTTGACCTAGGGTATGTCACCTTCTCTTCCCCTATTCTTTTTTTTTTTTTTTTACTGAAACGTGGATGGTTACATGTTTTTAAGAATACTATAAAGCATCTTGTTATCTTAAGGTGCTTTGAAATTTAGCATTCAATTACAAAAGTGAGTGTAAAGTTATATACATTTGTGTCTGAACTCTCGAGGAAAAAAGTTTTGGTAACGTTATGTAATTTGTGAAAAGGATGTCTTGTGCAGCTTTCGTTCCCTTTCTCCACAATGACAACCACCATAATGCAGAACTTCTAGTGAGAAGTACATATAATATCCTTTTGTATGACTGAATCACACAAAGCTGTATTTTTAATATTGCTTCCTATTACTTGGAAGCAAACCTGTTCAAAGCAGCAGTTTCACACACCCACACATGCATTTGCTCTCCTCGTATTTATGGAATATGAATTTTGGTGGACAGTTGTAGTTGCAAGCTTATTTACCTAGTGTTTTGCCCTTTCCCACGGCTAGGCGGATGTGGGGTAATTTTAGGTGGCTTTTAATGCGCTCGATCATGGTTAACAAGGAGACTGGCTCACTCAGTGTGCAGAGACGTCCCATTCCAGTATGTGGAAGAAGTGGCTGAAGAGAAGAGAAATTAAGATTACTCTGAGAAAGCTGATTCCAAAAGCTCACATTGCTTTCCATACTATACGAAAGTGATCGTATTGGGTGTTAAGAATGAATTTCTCTGAACTTTGCAGAAGAAACACATATGTGATGCTCTAAAATGTAACACAAGAAGTGCACTAGCTATTAGAACTGTTTTAAGAATTGATATAGGCCACAAGTGTGTTCACTGTTTTGAAAAATGTATGTGGTTTCAGCTCTCCGATAGGCCAGCATTTCGGAGCACTGACAGGTCACACAGGAAACCTGTGATGCCAGCAACTGTTAGATTTCAGTCTTTAGGGCAGTCAGCTCATAGAAGTAAAACATGCATTACCTTTTGTAGTAACAGAATCTCAGTCCTGTGATAGAGAGAGCTGTTCTTGGACAATAGTGCCACCACCTCCAACAGTGCTTTCTGAGAGCAGTTTAGACTCACTCGTGTTTGTTCTTCACCTTCTACCCTGAGGAAAGATGTATTTGGCGATTGCTAGGAAAGTAGTTAAATTTTCAGCATCTTGTTAACAGAATATAAAGCCAGTCTATCATAGAGAAAGGGAAAAAGGAGGACTGGCAGTAGTCTAGTCTACTGTTATGGAAATACATATATGTGTGTGTATATATATATATAAAACTCAACTGTCCTCACTGAGCTTCCTGTAAAAACTCTTCCTCACCATCCTCACTTAGGCCACGTGAAGCCACACTGAGTTGCTAGTTACCATTTAATCTCACATGGATTAGTCAGAAAAAAATGATTATCCTGTAAGTTAATAGATCTTTTCTGGGAGGAAAAACAAAAACAAAACAACAGCAACAAAGCATACAGAAAGTCATTACAATAGTAAAATATACTTCTGGCAATGTGTTCTTTCAAGCACCAGAAAGCCAAATGAGGGAGTGAAGCAGGTACCTGACAGGGAGAGTAGTGATGGAGGAGATGTCTTGAATGTCTTTGATTTTGGACAGCAGCGTCTCTAGCTCCGTGCTGTCTGCGCAGAGTTCTACCCGGTGAGGGCCCTCCGTTGGATAGTGTGGAGCAGTTGAGGGATGTAGTGGGACAGAGGTACAGGCACCTGAGAACACAGCACACAGCTTAGCTGCATTATAACGTTGGATGAGATTCCTTATGCTGATTTTAACAGACAGAAAAGTGACAAATGGAAAATGCTTACTTATGCAAAAGATATGCATTTTTGAACAAATTTTGCATTTGAATTCATTTTCCATGACCAGAACTGGAATTTGCAGACAAGATGATATGCCATTCAAGCCATTCAAGTTCTAACCTAAAAACTGCACAAACAAATATTAAGTTTCTGATTTGGAAATCAGTCTGGAAAAGACGTAGCTGATTTCAATTATGAGCTACAACACAGAATAAAAATCTAAAGAATTTCAGATATCTAAAGTGCTGTAGGAACTACTAGACTTTGCACTTTATAAATCAATGTCAGTGATTTAAAGTCAGCAGTTTAAACTTTTCAACCAAAATATGCAGTAAATATGCATGTAACAGAACTGTACCAGTTCTGACTACATCCTGTAGCAGAAACATGCATCTCAAAACGTCTACAGCTGTTTGTATCTGGTGTGTCTCACCAAGATCAATTCCCTAAACTAAGCGGAGGGTGCTCAGAAGTCCTGGAGATACCATTACTCTCACCAAGTCCCTTTGCCAGCCAGTCGTTGACCCCGTGAGGTATGGCGTCGTATGCGGTGTGCGGGGAGTAAATCCCGATGCGGTGCTCCAGAGCGCGCACCACCAGCCGTTCCTTCCAGGTCCCCCACGTTACCCGCTTGAGCGGCGTGAATATGGGAGGGTGGTAGGAGAGGATGAGCTCTGCCTTCCTCTGCACGGCCTCCTCCATCACCTCCTCCGTGAGGTCGTTCGTGAGGAAAAGGGTGTTGACAACATGGGGAGGGCTCGGCTCCACCAGCAGCCCCACGTTGTCCCAGCTTTCAGCCAGAGAGGGCGACGCGAAGGCGTTGAGGGCGGACACGAGCTCCCCGAGGTTCATGACGGAGCGGGAGGACCGGCGGCCCAGGGGGATGGCGCGGCAAAGGAGCTGTGTGCCCCACAGCAGCATGCGGCGCCCTCCGGGGCGGGAGAGGGAAGGAAACGGGGTAAATAATTACTGAAAAGCACGGAAACCGCTGCAGTGCCCTTCGTTTTCACGCGCCGCGAGCAGCGTTTACCTTTTGC